AATAAGTTTAGTCTATTGATCCTTAATTGTACTTTATATATTTTACTCTTATCATATGATGAATTTTTTTTACCTTTTTGAAAATTTATGTGTTAGCAACTTATAGAAATTAAATTGTATCAACAAATCTATTTATAAAATATTTAAAATATTAGTATATAAAATTACAATTTTTTTATTTTGATTTACCATTTTCTAAAACTATGAAATGTCTATTACTTAAAAATTGATTATAAAAAAAACAAGAATAAGACAAAAGATATTATATAAATGAATCATCATACGGAGAAAATGAGAAATAAAATAATAATGTATATCCATTTTTTAAAATTTAAATATGTAATATTAGTATTTGGTAATTTCCACATATTATTTTGGTGGATTCTTTTAATCTTTATTAGTAAATATAGATATTTTGTTAAACCATGTGAATTATATTCTTCACTTACTAATTTCATATATTAGTTTTTAAATATAGTTGAAATTTTTTTTAAATTCCTAAAATTATGATAAAAATTTAAAAAACTATTAATGGGTTGTACTTAGCTCGATATTGCATGAAGAATAGTGCCATGCTAGGCACGACGTATGAAGGCTATTGGCCATGCACCATTCTAGATTATATTTTTAGTTTTCATGGGTCTTGCTGACATGTTAAATAATAGTGCCGGTCTTGCATGACCCATTAATATATGAGTTAAATTTTTAATAGACCTATACTACTATGTTATCATTGATTTATTACTTAATTTTTAATTTATATTACAAAATTATCATCAATTTGTCACTAAATTATTTATGATTCACTATCAAGTTATTATTGATTATATTAAATTATGCATGATTTACTATTGAGGTATCATTAATTAACTATTATGTTATCAATGATTTACTACTAAGTTATTCTAATATACTTTTAAGTTTTTAATAATTAACTATTAAATTATTAATTAATTATTATTAATTTATAATTGATTTACTACTAAGTTATTCATTATTTACTACTATCAATTAATTACTATTAAACTAAAATTGATTTGCTATTAAAATATTATTAAGTTATTATTGATTTGTTACTAAGTTATCAATTATTAATTACTAAGTTATCACTTATTTTTTAAAGTTATCTTTGATTTAGTACTATGTTGTTATGCATTTATAATTATATTATAATTGATTTACCATTAAAGTATTATGCATTTATTATTATATTATTATTGATTTACTAAAAGTTACCAATTATTAATTACTAAATTATCATTCATTTACTACTAAATTATCTCTAATTTAGTACTAAGTTATCGATGATTATTACTAAGTTATAATGATTACATTTAAATTTTTAATGATTAATTATTAAGTTATTAATTATTTATTACTATGTTATCATTTATTTATGCATATTAGAAAAGAAAGTAATCATAATTTATGCTAGATTATATAATTTGTAAGTTAGAGAAAGAAAAAAAAAGTTCAAGTGTAAATGCCGTGATAAGAATGAGTAAATATTTTTAATTTACTATCAGTAGTTTAATACATAATAATAAGTTAAAATAATAACTTTTTATATGAATACAAGCATTAAAACTAAATTAAATAAATATATACGATATATATTAAGTCAATAATTTTAAGATATTTTTAAAATTTTTAGTCCATGATATATATATTAAAATAAGTTTTATTTATGGTTTAATTGAATTATTTATGTATGTGTTTAACACTTTTGAAATCAAAATTTTAAAATTTTAAGTAATTTAATTTTACATAAATTTTATTTTTAATTATAGTTGATTTAAATTAAACTAAGATAAATTAATAAAAATTATATATCTAAAATTAAATTTATTAATTTAAAATTTTGGAAAAATATTAAGATCGATTACAACTAATATTTTCTAAGTTCAAATGATAGATGATATAACTATCTATTGGAACCATGGTCTTTGAACATTTGTATAGTAAAAAGAACTAGGAAAGAATGAAAAATGTGCATGAGAAAATGAATTCTACAAGAAATCATTATGATTCAAAAGCTTTGATTTTATTCCCACGTTTTTTTAGAATTCAGAAGGAAGAGTTTGAGTTAGAGGCAAGTAAACAGTGTAGGGACAAGTAGTCAGTTCCCTTCTTATAAAAAAGACAATCCAACAAATCATTCCAATGCTTCAACAGTAAAATTTCTCACATCCATTTCTCTTTCCGCAGTCTTTTGCGTTTCTTTGTTTAGTTTAAGTCCACCCCCACCCTCTCCCCTCTTAGCTTTTGGAGAGGAACTAAATGCCAAGAAGGAACTCTCCCAAATCCGACCATGGTTTCCAAAAGGCCATTGGTGAAACTGGGAAATCTCAAAGAGGTAAAGCACCAGCACTTATCAAACCAATTATAAATACTTGCTCTACTTTCATTGGTTTACAACCATACATATTGTCTTCAAGATTACATTAAAATACCTTTTTTTCCTTGTCTATAAATTACCTCAATAGTAATATACATGATATTCATATTTTATATACTATATATATATACATATATATATATAAATATATATAAAGTTAAGGTGGCCTTCATGAATTCATTCTTTTCTTATTTTACTTTTTCATTTATTTTATTTCTCTTTATCTAAGAAATATTAATTTAAATATCGAAACACGTTTCGGCATATCAACTCCAATTTCTTTATTTTGTATGTTCTTTGATGTACCATTATCAAAAAAATTTGAACATCAACATTATTAATTCATTTGAGATAACAATAAGAACTCAGACTTAATGCTAAATTAATTTATTTGAGATTCAATTTATTTGGCTGCCTCAACATTTTTAAACTCTTGGGAGTTGGAGTACGTCATCATCATACATTTGCTAAAATAAGAGTCTTTTATGCATTGTTCAAACAATTTTTTTTTTTTTTTGAGAAGCAAACAATTTTTAATAGTTAGAACAACTAGTAATAAAAATTTCACCAAATGTTTAGTAAATCTCAAAATTTTGAGTGATTTTTACCCTTTTTTAAGCTTAAAAGTTCAAAATAATCATCAGTCATCAGTTGGGAAAGAAGCAAAAGTTAATCACTCCATTGCTATCTTAGCTTTCACATCATTCATGCAAAATCTATTGCTTCATTTTACAAAAAGGAAATTAACGAAATAATAAGCTCAATATTAAAATTGTTGACAATGAAACTTTCTCCTCAAGAGATTGGGCTGGCAGATAAATTGGTCAAGGCTATTAAGCTCCCAATTTATAGAAAATGAATACGACTAAAACTAGAAATTAGTATATAAGTACTACTTATTACGTTAGTTAATCGTAAGTTTTTTTTTTTTTTTGAAAGGCATGTCAATCGTAAGTTAAGATGCGACACATAATTAAAAATTATTATCTGATCATGTATGAATTTAGCACTGAAAATCAAATTAATAACATGAGCACTCTATACTAAAATAGTCATTTTTAATTATGTGTTGTATTTTAATTTCTTGATTATTCAACTTACTATTGATATACGTTAATTAATTTGAAAGTTCAATAGGGATTCAATTATAAAACACACTTTCTAATGCAATGGAAGCGAAGCTATAGTAAGAAAGGTTTATTTATTTATTATTTTTTTAAAATTGTAAGAAAGGCTTTTCTAATGAAAAATTATTTGATATAGTAATAATAAAGTTTTTTAATTTTATAAAACGGGTTAACATGATTACATATGTTTTATTTTTTAAATTTTTTAAATAAAAAATAAAATTATATATCATTCTATTAATTCTAGAGGTGAAGTTAAAAAGCTTTCTATTAGTATATTTGATATAATTATTTTCCTATTTAGATTTCTAGCCAAAAAAAATAGAAGTTAGATTTAAATGGAACATTACTGATTAGTCAATGCCCAAGTTTAGGCCTAGCCCTAACAATATATGAGCCTTAGAAATTGGCCTCAACTAGTCTTATTTATAGATTTATGCCATTAAAATTTGAATTGCAGTCCAAAACTTAGGTTCCTATTGACAGTTCTACGCAATTGTTACCACACAGTTTGCCCTCAAAATATTTCCTTTTATTTGTCTGAGAAAACTAGCAGAAATATATTGGCAACATAAATTACAAACTGAGCTCTGGCTAAAGAAAAACCCAAATTGAGTTATATGCCTTCTTTTAATATATATATATATATATATACACACGTAAAAACGACTTGAAAGGGGAAATTGACCTAAGATAAATTGGCAAGAATTTTACCACAAAAATGCAGCCTTCTGTTTTCCTTTTTTTTTAATTAAATATATACAAGTTATTTTCATGAGTAAAATTGTGAATTTTTAACATATTTTGAAGGAAAGTGAAGAAATCAATTATATTTGAAGGACTTTGCCCTCATATGAATTTAAAAAAAAAAATCAATTATAATCCCTTCATTAGATAAGGCTAAACGAGAGAAAAAAAAGTATTATCATGAAACAATAAAATCATTGATAGCTGCATTTTTTTTCTTTAAATTAAAAAATAAGAGATGTTAGAGATAAGCTAGAATATTGATTATTCTTTGTTGAAACAAACAAGTTTAGCATCTTTTTTAAAATAAAAAAAGTAACATGTTATAATGATGTGTAAGTTTGGGAAAACACATAAAAAAATGTTGTCCATAAGAAAAACAAAAAAAAACAAAAATCTGCAGAGTCATTACCAAGAAAAAACAAAAAAAAAAAAGAAAAACTTTTCTTATTGGATGAGTTCCAAGAGAATCAGAACATTCTTCGAAGTCCTACAAATCAAACCCAAAACTTGTCAACCTAATAAGGCTAAAAAAAGGGTTATTCCAAAGTTTCCAACTCAAGAAAACAAGAGGCTAAAGCACCTGGTTTTCGGCCTTTGAGGGTTAAGTCAAAATGTTAAATGTATAGCCCACTGAAATGAAATTAATACACGCTTACCAGGGAAACATCTTCCTAGGCTGGCCCTTTCATATTAAATTAATACTATAAATACTCAAATTGGATTGAAATTGAATTTCAAATAGAAATCTGCAAAGTCGGCCTTGGAGATCCAACAAATCGACCCTTTTTTGTAAAGTGTTTAAGGTTTGTTTTCATTAGGGAAGAGAAGAAGAAGCAGAAAAGATTTTCTGATGGGGCGTTGGATGAAGCCAGAGGTAAGGAGTAGGCAAAATGGCGCCAAATACTAAGATCCTATTTAACTTTATTTGAAAATGTTTATTAGACCGCACTGTATTTGTTAATGTCATGATTTAATTAATTTTCCTATACAAAAATTGTCACTTTATTTTTTTTTTTTTTTTATATTCTTTGATTGATGTATTTATATATTCAGGTGTATCCCCTACTAGGAGCCATGACATTTGTAACAAGTATGTGCATCTTTCAACTTACCAGAAATGTTTTCCTAAATCCTGCGGTCAGGTAAAATTTTTTGAAACTTTCAAATTAAAATCTCATGTTTTAATGGATAAAAATATTTTTGTCCCTTTTCAATGATATCTTGATTAATGCAATTAAAGTATTTATTCCATCAGCCACATATGTTCTTACAAATTACAAAAATTGCAGAATCAATAAATCTGACCGTAGCAAGGCAGTGCTAGAAAACTATGAGGAAGGAGAAAAATATGCTGAACATGGACTTCGCAAATTCCTCCGAACCCGCCCTCCAGAAGTCATGCCTGCCATTAACCATTTCTTCTCTGAAGATAAATGATCCTGACGTCAAGCTATTGTATGAAGTTTTATTATGGATAGTCCTCGGTTTCCCTTTCTTTCTGGTTTGGAGGAATTATACGACAAAGGTTTTCTTGTTATCTTAATGTAATGTATTGATATTCTCATCGATGGTTTAATATATGTCTTTTCTAATCTAAATATAATATTATCGAAAATGTAAAAGGTAATTTGATTATGGGTCTTTGCTGCTTGAACGGAAACGCTTCCTTTCTTACCAGCTTAAACTTTGAGACATTGGACCTTCAAATGATATTGATCTTATCGGGTCTGGCCTGATTGACTTTGTCACTTCTAAAACCATGTTTATTGTCCGACTTTTCAGTCTATTGAATCCATTTAAACTCGTCTAATTTAAATTTATTATTAAAATATTATATTAATATATTAATTTTTAAAATATATTTTAAATTTACAATTAAATAAAATATAATTATTAAATAATAAAATATTAAAAAATTTATTTAGAGTCCAACTCAATCTAAGACGGCTCATTCGAACAAATACTTTTCTTTTTTAATATTTTTAATTTGAATTAATATATTTTTTAATATTTTTAATCAATATTTTATAAAAAATATTTTTAAAATATTAAAAATGTTAATTAAAAAGTAATCATCTTAAATTATCTAAATTACTTAGGGTAATATTCCATGATCAAAATGATTGATTTTATATTTAAAGAATCAATGTAAAAGGACATACCATAGGAGTAATTGATTGCCTTAACAAGAGCAATTGATTGCTATATGCTATGCTATGTATTCTAGAAAGATATTAACAAAGCTTAATAAAGGAGTAATCGATTGCATAACATAGGACAATCAACTACTATGATTGGTATAAACATTTTATTTTGTTGGAGATCTTTTCAATATTATAAAACTTTAAGCTTTAATTTGATATTAGATTTTCAATTATATTATTAATTTTTAAGTCCAAATCAAAAGGTCCCAAAAGTTTTATTTATAAGTGTATTTTATTTCATTCTTTAAATCTAATTTTAATTTTTGATAAAAAAATAAAAAAAAAGATGTTGAGTGTAAACACTCTATTTTGTTTAAGATTTCCCTTTAAATTGATATTGGGCCTGAAAAAATTCGTCAATCAAATTTTTTGATAAGGCTTTAGATTGGCCCTTTTTAGTTTGGGTTAATATTGAGCTTTAAGCTATACATTCTTTTGGGTTTTGGAAAAGGATTTTGTTGTTTGAGTTTGGATTGTGTCTTGAGCCTAAACTAAGTATATGATCATTTTCTTTATTTGTTTTATTTTTATTTTTATCTATAATTTAATTTTATTTCAGTTTATTTTGGGAAAAAATTAAAGATAAAAAATCCTGGAGAAAATCTGAAGGGTATTCAAATTGAATTCTTCTGGTGATGAAGTTTTTGTTGGCTTAATCACTTTTGAGATAAGAACTCCAAGGAGATTATGCAAATCTCATTAAAAATTAGAAGTTTTTTTAATCTAGGATTCTTTTTGGGTTAAGGTTGGATCCTTATAAAAGCAACATCTACAATCAACAGAGGGGGGCAACAATCATTGGCAACCAAAATTGAGCAAAACCCAGCAACCAGCAACTAATTCCTAGCTAGCCTACTATTGCCTGAAGCCACCCACCAACGAAATTCTTAGCAAACCCCTTTACCAAGGTTCCACACCCATTAGCTATTATCACATAAACATACACCATACACACACAAGCAAAAATGGAGGTTCTCAGCCATTGTGCAACAAGTTGAAGAACAAAAATTTTCACGTAACTAATTCATTACCACTATCAATCAAGCTTAACAATCACAGAGACAGTTTCTGGCAAGCATTTTCAACAAAGGTTATGTACAGTCAAAAAATCAATAGACTAAAAAACCATGAGTTCTACTAGTTAACGGTACCAAGCCTTCTTACAGCAGCCATCATCTGCCATAGCCACTATCGATAGACCAAGCCTATTAACTCGAAACACCATCACTGCTAGCAATCAACAACCATAATCAACAACAATGTAGAGAAGCCAAAATTGACAGAAAACATAGAAGCTACACATAAGACAAAACTCAGAAGTAAATCGACCGTAAAAAGAGGAAAAAGAAAAGTCAAACCTGGGGTTTTGGATTTGAGTGGTTTAAAACAATTTTGGGACTCGAAACTTGTTGAAAAATTAGCCAAGAAGAAGGAGAGTAACATAACTCAAGGTGGTGACTGTATAAGTAGTGGATGAGAAGATGTTGGAGAAGGTAACTGCAATCTTCGAACTCAAATCTACACGAATTTATCAGGTTTTAGAGAGGACTAGCTAAAGATTGTAAAAAAAGAAAGAGAATGGAATATGAATAAAAAGTTAAGAGAGATTCGGCCATCAACGAGCGGTGGTCAGTGCTCTTGCATTTTAAATTTGTGGGGTTTTGGTTAGAGAGAGAATGAGAGAAAATTGAATTAGAGAGAGAGTGAAAATAGAAAATTGGGGAAAAAAAGGAAAATTTTTGTTTATAAAGCCATGTAAAACGGGCTTTTCATTAAACTAGGAGTATCCGCATGTTTTGCTGACTTGACTCGAAACTCGCAAGAAGACCCGAAAACCTAGAGATTGGTCTTTAGCCGAGACGTGAAGTAGAGATGATGAGGTTGAGCCTCCAAGCCACTTTTTTAGTCTAAAGTTGAGTCAATTTTTTTGATATTTTATTTATTTATTTGTTTCAATAAAAATTTTAAATAAAATTTAGAAAATTAAAATTTTAAAATCTTAACAAACTATTAAAATATTTAATTATTTTTTTAAAAATAATAAAATAAAATATTAATTTTATCAAATTAGTAGATGATTTAAATCTTAAATTAAATCTTATCAAATTATTAAAAAATTTAATAATTTTTATAAAAAATAAAATTTTTATTTCTATCAAGCTATTGGAGAATTTAAAAATTAAATTAAACTTACTAAACTATTGAAAGTTTTAATTTTTTTAATGAATTAAATTAAAAATATTCTTTAAAATCAATTCTACCAAACTATTGAAAAATTTAAATATCGAATTAAATTTTACCAAACTATTAGAAGATTTAATGGTTATTTCATTAAAAAAATATACCAATAAATTTTAAAATGAAAATCCTACAAACTATTGGAGGATATGCTTCAAAATAAAATATTACCAAACTATTAAAAGATTTTATTGATTATGAAATCAATCAATTTCTTAAAAATACACTAATGAATATGATGATGAAGTCTCTTCAACGAGAGACACTGGTCTTCATGAATACTCTTGAAGTGAAAAAATTTTCTTAAATTGCTACCAAACTATTTGAGTAATTTTAAGAATAATTTCAATATTAAATTTACTCAGTAAGATTGCAAACAAGTTTCAAGACTTGGATGGCATAAAATCAACTGGTACCATCATTTGGATGAATGTTATGAGAGTGCTATTATCCTCCTCACTTACAACCTTACTTCTGGACCTAGCTATGGTTTCGTAGACTAGAATATATCTTTTAAAGATATTTAAGTAATCTTAGGACTTCTTTTAAAAAAAGTATAGATTCAGTTAGGTAGTAAATCACACTTACATAAAAAAGATTTGTAGTGACTCTTAAGTTATGCTTAGCAATAAGTTTATGAACTTATGCGTTATGACAATTTGGTGACTCTATTGGAGATAACAAAGAGTCAAGCCAGCAATAAATTTTGTGTTATTCAAGCCTAATAATTTTAAAGAGTTTTTCTTTAAAGTTTTCTTAAAATGCTTTATTTATCTTCAAGCATTTAATATTCTATCATTCATATGGATTTTAAAACATGAGTACTATACTTAAGCTTCGTCTTTTAAGAGGGAGTAGAGTATCTATGCTTTCTTGAGATTTTATGTCTTTGGTTGTGCTAGCAAAATATTCCTATTCAGATTGAACATTTTCCATTTTAACCTATGATGGGTAGGGATTGGGGTGTCTTACTAGTTTGTATGGATTAGGATGTGAAAAACAATTTAGGAACCTTTACATTGTAAACTCAAACCACATATAATAAATATAAAACACTAACCTTTTGTTAGAGTCATACCCACCCATTATTAGAACGTAACCCTAGTTAGGACATATAAGTGGACTTTTCAAGTTTTATTAGGAAAGGTTGGAAAATTTTGTGGTTATTCAATTTCTTATTTATTGTTAAGTTGATTTATGTCAAACTTTAAAACAGGACCATTAACATATGCATTCATCCATTAATTATAATGTGGTAAACATTAGTATATGCATTCATTTATTCCTTCATACATTGTTATGCATCATAATTTGATATGTATCAAGCATTCAATGCTTGCATTCATTCATGCATATAGGATTCTTAAGCAAATTAAGATAATCTTGAAAACTTCTTTACATAAACACCTAGTAACATAAGCATGCTAATTGTGGTACATAGGGTTTAAGGATAGCTTTATCGTCCAAGAATCTAGCTCAACTTACTCACCATCAATACGATACTCAAGCCTAAGCCAAATGCTTGAAGTAAGAGAATGTCAACCACCTTGACAAAGTGAAAAAAGGCCCAAGATGAGCTTAAAGGAAAACTAAACAAAATATTAGAGGTCTTGAATAAGCTGAGTAAAAGAAAGATTGTAAAAGAACATTCCATTCCATAAGACTATCCGTCACAAAAATGTTATTGACCCTTTATACCCTCCTGTTATGGCCTATACTAGGCCTAGGGTAGGCAAAATCACCCGAACCCGTCGGGTTTCGACCCGACCCGACCTCTTAGGGTCGGTTTTTTTTTTTTGAAAATCGAGTATCGGGTCGGGTAGAGTAAAAAAAATTTTGGGTTCGGGTCGGGGTCGGGTTTTGAGCAAACCCGACCCTACCCGACCCGATATATATAAAAAAATTATTTTTTTAATTTTATATTTAATTATATATATTTATATTTAAAATAATATTTTATTAATTTCGGGTTGGGTCGGATTTGATTTTATACAATGTCGGGTCGGGTCAGGTTCGGGTATTGCATATTTAAAAATCGGGTGGGGTTCGAGGCGAGCAAAAACCCGCCCCGACCCGACCCGTTGCCATCACTAACTAGGCCTAGTCCTCTTGAGGACCTTAATAATAATTTACATTTCTTGTAAGATATAGATATTTTGGATGCATTTTGAGTCAACTCATGTATAGTTTCAAAGCTTCATTAATCTTGTATTCACAGAAAAGGTAGTTGAACTAGTCTAAGTCTTTAACTTAGATGATATAAAGGAAAAAAAAAAAGCTAAAGCTGAAGGTAGTTGGGACGTTAGAAG